TTGACATATAAATTTAAGGAGAGATATATATTCATATTGTAGAACATTTTCATAGAGAACGTTTTATTTCTTCAACAGGGCATGAGATGTATACAAAAACACATTTCCTATCTCAATAAAGTATTTATAAAAATATGCACATAATCAAAAAGAAACCTTTAACAGATTTAAAACTTTTAAAAGCTAGTCTTATCCTACTCCAATTGAAAATTAAGAAACACACCGTGATGTAAAAGACTAACATTTAAAAAAGACAGAGTAATCCAGAGATTTGGAGAAATTGAATACTTCTAGAACAATGGAGTGCAAATAAAAACTATAGAGCAGAGATCATTTTTTTTCTCATGAAAATGTCATAATACCACACCAGACACATAAGCAGCAAAAAAAAAAAAAAAAAAAAAAAAAAAAAAAAAAAGAGTGAATTAGATTAATAGGTGATAAATCAAATGCTGTTGGAAAAGCCCACCGTCAGATAAAGTCAGTGCTGGACACCCAACTTAGTAAAGTAGATAAGTCCGATGTTAGGTCAATTATTAGGCATTAGAAAGACGAGTGCTTTTTGGTAATTCTATGAAGTCAGAATGATACCACCACAGCCTACGAAAGCAACAGCAGCAATTGAAAAGGCAGATCTGTTAAGTCTTAGCATAGATGCTGAACACGTGAAGAACATGTCAGAGACTGTAACAGAGGAACGAGCACCCTGGGCCGAAGCAGGCTTTAACAAAGGAAGCGCAGCTGTGTTTAAGAAGTTGGCTTCCGTATTGATTACCAGCCATCACCGAGACAGGTGATCAGTTTGAGAGGAAATGCTAGGCCAGACAGGAACAAAAGTATGCACAGTTAAGGAGGACACACTTGTGATGTTCTATGAACAAAAAGTTGAACCTTTACTCAGAATCAGGAATCACACAGGCATCTCCGTAACTGCTTATATTAGCATTTCTAGTCACAAATGAGACAAAGGGATACATAAAAAAAAAAAAAAAAAAAAAAAAGGTAAAGTTACCGATTCTGAATATGTACCTCCTTTCTTTGAAAGTCCTCTTGAGGCTTCAATGATCAAATGAGACATTGGATTGCACTGGATAAACACAAGATGAACTGCATAGAACGCTGGTCCCTGACTACCCAGGAAACAGCACTTAGTGATATGGAAGGACACCTCACTCAGAAGACAACTGCTGCATGTAACGTTGTTAGGTGAATTTGGTAGAAAGGCTGAGAACACAGTGTATGAGAACCGTGAAAGCCTCTCATCTACTAGGTTAGAAATGACATTGTTGTGAACGTGTCAGTTCTCCAAAACTTATACACAAACAAAATGCAGTTGTAAGCATTATTTTCCTTTTACACAAGGCACCAAAGAGCTGGTGAGATGGCTCCATGAGTAAAGGCCCTTGCTGTGAAGCCGGCTGGCCTGAGTTTGATAGCCAGGACCACATGCTGGAAGGAGAGAGCCACTCTTTTGAGTTGTCCTCTGACCTCCATGTGGGTTCTGTGTCCTGCATGTATAAATAAGCACAAAAATGTTGCAAAGAACACTGGAAGTTGTTCTGAGCATAATAGGTACATTTCTCTCTGATGACTAGGGAATTTTATATATAGTAGGTTTAAAATAACTATTTTTGTTCCCTGATTAGTTAACAGTTGAGGTTAAAGAACTAAGCTCAGAAGACTGAATAGAGGGGCTGAGGCAGAGGGAAGTAGGGAGGGAAACAGAAACAGGGAGGGGAAGACAGAGGGGGCAGAAAGACAGAGGGAAAGGGAAGAAGGGAAAGAGGAAGGGAGGGAAGGAGGGGGAGGTCTCCCCATTGTTCTTGTTTTGCGGTTTGGTCAAGCTGCTTGCACATTACAATCAGCTACGGAGCATCATAAAATATAGGTTCCAGATTATGACCTAAGTGCCTGAAGCAAGTTGCACAGCCCTTTTAGGAATCACTCACTAGGGATCACCCATTTCAGACTGTGGAACATAAACAGTGTTCCCCTTGAGAGGGTTATCATCCAATCCTCTTATGTGAGAAATGACTCACTTCTCTTAGAAATTAGCAGTGAAAACTGATGTAAAGGTAAGTATGGTTGGGCATCCTGGTGTAAATCTAATGCCCAGCAATTGGTAGGGTGTCAGGGTTCACAGCAAGACTGTGTCAAGAAACCAAAAATAAATATGTAAGTATGAACTAGATTTCCTCCTGGAGACAGGCATGCCATTCATGGCTTGCTTTCCTCAGGGCAGTCTTCCACAATGGTTTGTGCAGGGTGATGCCATGCTTTGGTTCAAGTTTGAAAGCAAGTTTGCTCCTCCTAGCTTTGCCATTTTAACGTGTGGTTTCTTTATCTCTGTGGTGGAGGCAGGAGTAATATTTACCTTGACTATACTAATCATTTAGTAAGTGCCAGCTCAAGGCCAACTAGGAGAAGCTCCACAGTTCACATCCTCAGCAGATGTGCTTGGGATGATGAAAATGTCTGCCTAAGCTGACCTGTATTAGAAACCCAATGAATGTGCTCTAACCAGCCTTCAACACTGTGAAGCTTACCACAATTTAATTTTGTTGAAGGTCTCAAGCACCATTTTCATTTTTCTTAGTATCATTTCAAGGCCATGCTTTTCAATATTTCCCAGATCATGCTTGTTTGTGAATACAAATGAATTTGCCTTAATAATCAGCATGTAAGTAAAGTTTAAAAGCCACATTGGTTAATAACTATCCTTCCCTTAAACCATAGAAAAATTTTTCTCTCCCCATCTCTGACCTGCATTTTGTCATGAGGCTTAGAGAAATAGTTCATAGATCCAGAACCTCCTGTGGTCATTTTGGAAAAAGATTTTTTTTAATGTCCCTACTATGTCTTTCAGGGTCCTGAAAATAATTTCAAGACACTGAAGGAGAGTGGAGGGTCAGACTTAGTGACATTACCCAGCCCCATTCACCTTGACAACATCCCAAGGTCACCATCATAAAGTTTCCTTTATTCGGAAGCACATGTGCTAAAAACATCCACTTACAAATAGGTGGCTATAGATGACACAAGACCATCAAAGCTCTAAGATATTCATAGGCCATTTCCCTTCTTTCTATATCTATTTTTGTCATTAGCCGTTCCTTTAATTCTTCCTAACCCTATTGCTGTACCTTAAAAGGGAAACACTCAACCGTGGAGAGAGCTGCACATATCTGAGGCTGAGGCTATGTGCCCTGTGTTGAAGCTGTTGGCTTCTATAGGGACCTGGCGATTTGGGCTTCCCAGCAACGGTGGGCTCCAGGGATATCTGCTGTGCTTCTGCTGACATGTGAACAATATATCAATTAACATTACCACAATAGCACACAGCATGGGAAAACGACTTTTGTTCCTGATTCCTGTAAGTACTTTCTTGAGCTTCAAAGTTCAAATCATGACTCTTATGCATGTTTGAGATTGGAAGATGGGTGACCTGAAGTTTAAATGTGGTGGGAAGTATAGGCATAGAATAAATGACAGAGCAAGAGTGACCAGCTAACAGGCAGTGACAATGATGTCTCACTCTCCCAGAATGCTCCATTGATCTTCTGACCTTGATGCCCTAGCTACTTCTGGGAAAAGTCCATTCTGTCCTTTATGGTCCCCTTTCTACCTCAGGGTGATGCCCATCTTAGATACCTAAATATCCCTTTTCCACCATAAAACCCAGTTTTCCCAAAGGTCAAACACACACCTTTGTCCCAGAGATAGTTATGTTAAGGCTTACAGTGTATCTTTCCCCAGAGCATCAAGTCTAGATACTAAACATTAGGTCTGTCTGCTGAGGGGACTTGAATCCAGTCTTTAAAAACCATGCAAAACCCCATTTACAGACCAGGAGCCTTTCCACTGATCTCAACAAGAGTAGGAAGGGCAGCAAGTGAAGGCTAGACACCGTAATGCTCATCGGAAATGCTCAGTTTATGTTGGGTTATTCAAGAGGACAACACTTTAATCCAGAAACAGTAGCTTTCAGTTGTGAAATTTCATTTTATTTGGGGTACATTGAGCCCTCCACCTTTCCTTACAGATGGAGAGCTATACGGTTGCTTGCTCTTAACCATTGTCTTCAGGGAACACGTGTGGGCCTGCCTGGGCTAGGGTCAGGGATCATCGAAATCAAGAAAATTTCATGTTTATGAACTCTAACCAGTCCTGTGATGTTCATTTCATGTATGATCACGATTATTTCCCAGTTACCAACACAGTAACCTCTGAAATCATGAGCAAGAAGCCACAATTATTCTTGAATTTTTTCTGGAATCTTCCATAGATCTTTTCAAAGGGTCCATCCTGTCAAACTACATTTCCCAACTTCCATGTTGAGAATTTGTTGGTGGACTCGACAGTCTCTAACCACCTCAGTCATAGAAACCACCTGCTGGGAGGTGGTCTCACTTGGTCTTACTGTCTAACTCTAACATTGGCTTTTGGTACCCACTTATCATTAGCTAAACAAGGATGCTTAGATAAAGAGCAGAAGAGCCCTTTTCTGAGATCTGAGGTACCTCTCTGTCTGTGAAAAGCGGACACGTTGACTGGGGACTTGGTGGTCTAGGTCACAAGATGAAGAAGGAGGTGGCTCAGATAGGTGTCAGGCCAGTTCCCGGAGCATCCCCTTAGGAGGGGATGCCACCCTGGAGCTTTCGTTGCTAGGTCCTCTGTTAGAGGCGTTCTGAACGCTCCCTGAGCGGGACCAAGGATAAGGCGGGATGAGGGGTGCCTCGGAAAGCCAAGCGCATTCTTCTGTACAGTTGGAGGAGAGGTAGCGGGTCCAGGAGGTCCCCAGCTCTCAGGACATGCAGGGGGCAGCGGTCCTTCCTCCTCCTTGGTCCCTCCTGCCTGTCGCCAGCCCTCCCGGGGCTTAGTGCTCGCTCCTCTCGGAAAGACGCTCACCCCTGGGCGCAACGGCAAATGGTCTGGTCCGTTGGTAGCCACCACCTCTTGGGCACGACAGCTGCTCCAGCTGCTCCTGGTCTAGTCGAGCTTCTGAGCTCTGAGCCCTGGCTTCCCCGGGAGGTGGGCGAGCTGCGGGGATCCCAGGGCCACCGGCGCGGGGCCCACTGGGGAGCAGCCAGCCGCTGGCGGGGAGTGTGAGCCAGCGAGGGACTGGCCACTGGAGTCACCCAGAGAGGGGTTGCAGCCAGCCGTAAGTACCTGCCTTGCCCCTGCCCCTCCCCTCCACACCCGAGGTCGAGGCTCCCATTCTCCTGAGTCTCTGTCCTGGATACAGGCCCGGTGGAAGCTGTGAGGACGGCTGCTGCCAGCTCATGATTCAGCATCATTGGCGTCCAGAGGTTTGGACAGAAGGGGGAGGGGACTGGACAGGGTTATTTGTGGGGTCCCACTGCAGTTTCTAAACCCGCCTGGCAGGGTGAAGGGGGCAGCGCTCCGAGTCCCCGCAGGGTTGAACTGTCATGGTTTTCTTTCAGTGTCAGTGTTTTCCCCAGTGTCAGAGCATGCTGTGCGTTCTTGAAAGTGTGTCAGTGAGATGTCTTTCCCCACACACCTCCTTTCCTCTGCTTCTCATTTCACTACACATCCACTTTATTTGATATCAAAACATCCCCCCAAACGGTGAAAAATTTCCGTAGAGTGTGTCCTATATTCAGCATGGGTTTGACAGATTCATATAAAAAGAAGATGTATAGGAATTATAAATAATACCATCATATTTTAGGTACTTTGTGAGTAAGTGAGTGTGTGTGTGTGTGTGTGTGTGTGTGTGTGTGTGTGTGTGTGTGTGATGTGAGTTATCACATCAACCCAGAGCCAGGTATGGAAAGTGAGGAACAGAGAGATTTTAAATTATGATTTCAAGGTCACAGAACAGGAATTTGAATCTAGGTCTCTCTCACTACAAAACCCATGGACCATCTATTCACTGTCTCAGTCCATATTGGGTCCACTTATGCACTCTTAGATGTTAAGTATAATTAATTTTCATAAGAGTAAACTCAAACACTAGCAACGGCAACCTGTAAACTTTGTGCACATTGCCCTGCACACATCAGGGTGATCACGCGAGAAAACATCCATTTCCTTAGCATCTAGCAAAAAAGATTTATTGGACAACAGTTTATGGGACGAGCTAGGTCCACCCAGAGATGCCCAACCTGGTTTTGGGTGGTGATATAGGCCAGCTGCTCTAGTCTTGGAAGAATAAACTAGCATCACAGTAAGAGATCTGGAAATTGTCATTTTTACCTTTGGATGATATCCGAAGGAAGAGCAGTTATCTAGTTTATGGGCTGTGAGACTTAGTCATACACACTAGAATGATAGATAAACCCAGACTCCAATGCTGTTTGATTGTCACAGCTCTGTGACTTGACACAAAGAGTGATAGTTTTTAGGTTAAGTAGCTGGAATATAGAAAAGGTCCAAGGCCATCCAGTAAGTGGTAGAAAAGGAATGAGCACTTACTCCTAAGTGCTGCTTCATTTATTAAAAAGAAAGAACAAACGTGTGTGTTGTAGTAAGATGGAAATGTGAAGAGCGGGAAATGGGCTTGTTAATTGATGCCCTGCCCTTCGGAGTCAACAATCATACTGACCTTGTATGTTCATTTTGCAGAAATAATGGGCAGGCACTAGGTCTCTCTTTCTCCTCTGATGGGTCCTTTGACTTGCTTTCATTTATGATTTATAAATTTTCTCTTAAGATATACAACTTGTTGTTGTCTTGGGTGTCAGGTTGCTAATGTACAGATGGTGTTTATTTCTAAGGCCAGGCAGAGTGTTTGATGGCATACAAGAGCATAGCTACTTGGCATTTGGTCTATCACTTCTAAAGCACTGGATCATTTGATTTGGAGAGGTTTTTATTTATTTATTTAAAAATTTTTTGTCAGTCGGGATATTGATGGACTAAAGCCCACTGCTTAATTAAGGACACAACATGGAGAAAAACATTTATATTTGTTGTTCAGGCAAAACTGCAGGAGAAGCAGGATTCTCTGTGTGGTCTTAAGTTGATTTTTAGAAGGTTATTTTATTTGTTATTTATATTATAAAACCTTGGTGTGGTATATTGCAATCCAATCTTTTTGATCCCAGGAGGAACCTCAGAATTGATATGAATGAATAAGCAGAAATAGACCATTACTGCTCTAAAAGCAGAAACTGGAAAGTGCATGTCCTGGTTGTGATGTCACAGGCAGCGTTTTAAAACAGCATGCTTCATTTAGATAATATCACTGAAGGCACAAATATAATACCAGCCTGCCTATAGAACTCTCCCTCCTCTTTGCCTCTGTGTGCATCTGACTAAAATAACTACCGAGAAACATCTAAATTTCCAACTTCAAGGAACTCTAAGTCCAGCTGAGAGGTATTTACCTACTTGGCGAGAACAGAATGATACAAAATGAGCTTAATATTAAAAGGTGGATGAGAACAGGGAACTGTTAGGAACTGAGTGGTTGGTCGGAGGGTCAGGGATGTTTCCCTGCACATCTGAAACTCGGGCATTTTTCCCTATAGGTAGAGAAACAGGGTCAGCTGAGACGTGCTTGGCACTGGGCTATGAGGAACCCTGAATGTCAGGCATGAGATCTGTTTCTGATGTGGCAACCACAGAGAACTACTAGAGATATTTTTAATCAGAGTGAGTTTTTCTTGTTCATCTTCTTTGCCTCCATACCCTTGTAGAAAAATAGAATCCTTTTGGATACTAAAAGGATTATTAGTTAAATGCAGAAAAGAACCATTCTGTGAAAATAAAATATTTCCCTTCTAAAGAGATTCACCCTTTAAAATTTTACCCATTGTACAATTGTGAACAAACTGGAAAGTATAAAAATGTAAATGAATAAGGTACTCTTACCAAGTAAAAACAACCATTGATGGCATTATTTGTGTTTGGTTTTAATCATGATGCTAATTAGTACTGTATTTATTTTTACTTTTAGTTCTCTAACACTAGTTTTCACCAAATCATAAGTGATTACTAAATATTTTCAATGCCTTTATAACTTTTCATGAAGTAGACATACTAATTTCTTAACCATTCTTCACTGTCAATAGATTATTGAAAATAATTGTGACGTCATGATGAACATTTTAATGCATAAACTTTTATATTTTAAAGATTAATTCTGTAGGCTAACATCTCTGGGGAAAGGGTATGCACTCTCCAAATTAGACTATTTCAATAAGTTTTGAATTTCTACTAAAATTTATGTGTTCAGTTTAGGACTTTACATATTGGGTATCAATAGTTGTGTAATGTTAAAATCGAACTGTCATGCCTGTGGCTTCTCAGGTCACACTGTTTCAGGCAACTCCACTTTCCACTAGAACAATTTACTACATCCTAAGAACTGAACGAAAGGTGGGCATTTAGGACAAGAGAAGAAAGGAGACACAAAGTCAGAGAACAGGTTTGGTGTGAGTAGGTGCGAGTGTCTGGTCAGAGAAGAGGTGCCTGCGATTGAAGACCTCTGCTCCAGGATTGTGTTTGTGGATCCAACCTCACAACCTCTCTCCTAGCGGAAACCACATCCCAAATTAGTCTCCTTCAAACTCCAGCCTGTGTTCTCTGTCCGATTCTCAGGTCTTTAGCTTTGGTACTCTAGCAGTGCTGGGCACGGACTGGAGCTCTCTCAGTCTATATCATAGAGAATATGTTACCCCTGCCACACCCCAACTCTTAGCAGGAGCCCCTAGTACAAAGTACAAGGATACATAGGAAGCACATTTGATGGGCTCTGAAGTTCCTGTTTACTGCTGGTGTACACTTGTCAGAGATGACCTTTGAACAAAGTGGCAGCCAGATGTTTAAAATGCTTAGTGTCACCTCTCAGCACTTGGATTCTTACCCCCTTTTCTCACCAGAGGGGGGAAAAATCCTCTTGTGGAGGAGACCGTGCCTCAGTTTCCCTTATGTGTTGCAAAGTTGTATAACACTCTCTCTCTATTATGAGTAAGACAGGAGTCCAGTGTTGAAAATGTGCTTTACTTGGGCTCTTGACTTATTCCCCAACGTTCTTTATTGGGCTTCCCTCGGGACCTACTTCCATCCTCCGTGTTTTGGTCATGAGACTGGGGCTCTGCTGAAGTGGTTGGCTCTAAAATTTCTAGGGTGCTCATGGAAGGGGAACCAAGGGCTATGACTTGAGGACACAATTAGGACCTGATGCTCATTCTAATATGAGTCAGCCTTGAAAAACTAAAGCACTGCATTGCAAACCACAGAGAAACTTGACCCGCTTTTTAGGTCCCAACAGATGATTGGGGGGAAGCTAGGCTTTCAAGGGCCTGAGTATTTTAAGCTGAATTTGCCTTATGTTTACTTGGAGACTATTATCAAAAAGTTTGTTTAAGTTCTTAGGAGCTTGCAAATCCACTTCGAATCTCAGCAAAAGTAAAATGGGCTTTAGCAGTCTCTCTGAACATAAAAGTAGAAAGTATAAAGAGGTTTACCTATTCATTCCCCTTTGTCTTTATTTCCCATTTAGCTCTGATCATTAGTGACAAAGATAAGGCAATGGGTTTGTTTAGGTTATGGGGAGGGGGTGAAACATTAATTTCCCCCTTTACTTTTCCACATCTTTTCCTTGAAAGTACCTGGTTGGTTGATTTTTGTTTGTTTGTTTTAGAATTCAATGGTTAAGAGCTCAGTGGGACTTCTCAGGGTGGTGCAAAGGTTTGCTTCCCCTCCCCTGAAGGTGATGATGTTGTTGATATGTAAAACTACCCATGTTGGCTGCTGTTTCTAAGTTGTTGGGATACCTGAACTTCCAAATCTATGTTATTTTTGTCCTTCTGCATAGCCATGTGAAATGGAACATTATATTTGACAAAGGACTATTTTTGAACATTTCTAGCTCTCTCACCCACTGCCTTGTGAAGTGTGAACAAGTACCACAGCTAATGTGACAAGATGAAAATAGCCTAGTGTCTATTTAAAATTTATTTTTTTTAATGTTAAAAGTTTCTCCCTCCTCCATTAATGTTTGGGCAGTGAAGCTGTCTTTTAGAGGAAGTTGTATATTTGTAGATTTAGGAGGTGAAGGGACAGTAACCCAGGCAGCATCCTCAAGATCATGGCTATAGGTCATTCCATGGCTGGCTTGTGGACATGCTTAGGCACTCTCATTAAAGGCAGTTCCATCCCTCTTTTATAAGTTTATTCCTCCTTGAATTG